ATAATAAATAAAATAATAATAAAAATATATATATATAAATTAATCTTTTTATGAGAAATGTTCGATTTTGTCACTTAATTCTCGTTTATATCAATGTTACGCAAACGCATCAGTCTTGATAGAAATTAGAGAAGACTGTGCGTGCACGCACAGTTCGATAATTACAAAAGATCCGCTGTGCTGCAGAAAGCTCTCCAGCTTTACACACAGCGTATATATGAACGCGCTATTAAACGCTTCCTACGTAAGCGCAACGGTTGCATTAAACTCGCATCGGTTTGAGGCGCATCCTTCGCTCTCGCAGCATCCGCCGCTTCAATTCTGTCCTTTGTCTTGAGTAAAACGCGCAATCTCCACCAGTAGGCATGCTGCGTTTCACGATCACGTAATGGCGGGAATAACGCCGCTGGCGAAATGGTTCTTAACGACTCTGAATGACGCTAGACAACGAAAAGGAACAGAATATCCCGCGTGAGCATCAACGCTACGCACGTGAAGAACGACGAACGAAGAGTTTTGCAAATCGCGCGACCGTTTTGCAAATGGCCGATGCTGACTCGCGGTGAAAAATAAAATAATAAGATAGATAAGATGCGGAGAAAAGAAAAGAAAAGTGAGAGAGAGAGAGAGAGAGAAAGAGAGCGGCGGCGAATCGACCGTTCGGTCCGCAGATGTCGAGATGTCGAGAGACTGCGGCGGGGAATCCGACTGTGTGTGGCTTTTTACGAGTTCTCACCAAACTTGCATTTCTTTCCCGCGCGAAGAGGTGAATAGCGGCGGAATGGGATAAGGCAAAGCCCTATTCGCCGCAGGTTTTATTCAAATTCTTCCCCTAAGCGCCAGCTGCGCCCTCTCCCTCGCCTCATTTTCTTTCCTACCGGGCGCGCGGCTGATTCGGAAAGGAAAAAAAGTGCGCAAAGATCTGCGGAATCGCGTGACCACACGATGTTTTGCCACCACCGGGCCATCTTCTCCAAGGATTCGGAGCTTTTCTCGGAAAGAGATGGTGGTTAGGTCACTGACCTCACTTAATGGAAGACCGAGAGAAGATCTCGTGAAAACGCGCGGTCAAAAATAAAGAAAAAAAACTGATGAGAAAGTTTATAGCGTTTAAATTTCACATTTTTTCCGGATTTTTAAGTACAATAATTTATATCATTTTTAATATTCACACTTACACAGCTTTTTTATCTTAATTGTTTTTATAATAAGTGTTTAATTAGGAGAATGTGAATTTTGAGGTACTTGCGAATAAATTGCGACAAAATTGTGCGATAAATAATTCCATAATCCACATGCAAAAATATATATACGTAATTCTCTCCAAACTCTCTTTAGCAAAAACTTAATTAAAAACGTGAAGAGAATTACGACGACGAAAAAAGTATTTTCTTTTTTTTACCAGCGCTAAAATAATGAAAATTACACACACGAAGTGTTTTTGTTACAAGATTTAATTACTACCAAGTTATCGTGTGTGTAATATAAAATCTGTCATGTTGACATTTCGATAATAAATTCCGGAAGCTTATAGTTTTCGAGGATTAAGATCGTATTCGCAGACTAATGAAAAGACGAGTTCGAAGCTTGCCGCAAAAGTTGAGAACTTCATCTTTTTTGTGTTTATAACTTGCCACGAACACACACACACACGCACGCACGCATGCATGCACACTCACACGAAGACAAAGCACATACACGTATTGTACTTACTTTTAATATATTGTCAGTAAAAAAAACATTAAATCATAAAAAATTGTAGATATAAAATTATCTGCAAATTCCGTAATAAAAAATATCACTTTCCATTTAAGAAAACAACGTTGACCTTGGAAAATCGCTACTCACATAGTTTTTAAGGTATCACCATCACGTATATTCCTCTCAAAATTCTCATATTCTTTTATGTAGGACATGTTTTTATACAGCGTACACTTTAGAGATATTGAGGTAAAAACTTTTCAAATAAACACTCTGAATATATTCGTAGCCAGACACAACGCAAACTTGCAATATCCGTTAAAAAATACTCTAATATATATCTATATCAACGATACAGAGAAATACAGAGTATATAAAAACTCAATATTATTCTGCTGATTTAAACCCGATCAATGGAAGTCACTTGAGTGAAAATAAAAAATTTCCACGCAAAAAAAAAACATGTTTTTGTGTGAGATAAAACAAGATTACGCTATTAGAAAAGTTTTAACAAAATATATTGACGCTTACCGCGCACACACACGTGCCGCGGAATTTTCAGTTGTTGAAACAAGAATATGTAACTTGATTATTTTATGACGCTCTGATTTCTCTAAACAAATGAGAATGAAGCGCCTACGTCGTTGAAATTTCTCTAGTTTTCGGTAGTTGGTTATAAAGTTAGTGCTTGTAATTGTGATGATGTAACAAGAGTTGAACAAAGCACAATATGTAAGCGGGCAAAATAAATACAAGCTTGCATACAGAAGTTGCGCAAAGCGTTGTAATTATGGCACGGAAATTAATCTGGTAAAAGACTTTAGTCTCTCCAAATAAGTTGCATCTTCATGTATGCTTTGGCTAATCAAAGTACATTTTAATTCACGAAGAAATTGCTTGCGTACTTATTTATATGTGTCAATTTCGCAAATCTATTGTTTTATATTGTATTTCAGGCTTATTTATAGTTTCTCAAACACGTATTATATTATATTGTTACATGCATTGTATTATCATAATTGAAAAGCAATATACACGTATTATTAATTACAATGGCATTGCACAATTTAGAATTGCACAACTAATAACAGTGTTAACTAATAACTATGCCGCTAAATATTTATCCAGATAATTTTCGCAAATAATTCGTGCAATGTTCCATTTGCACATGTAGCTGTAAATATTTTATGCAATTTGTGAGTAAGCAACTTTTTTGATTTTGTAGAAATTTTCATACTATTTATAATTTTGTGCATAAAATCGCGATAAAGTAAAAACATATATTTCTTAAATAATATTTTTCAATATAAAAAACTATTTCTTAATATAATTACATTTGAGATATTAAATAAACAATATACTTTCGAAAAACCGCGTAATTAAATTTCACGTTTTTTTTTTTGCATTACATTTCATGTTTAGCTTGGTTTTCGGTAATAAGTTGCGAGAGTACACATTGCACCAGTCAATATGTACACATTGCAACCGGTCAATATGTACTGTATACAGTTTGAGGGAAAGGGAAATGTCGGGTTCGAGAATTTTCACGCGTAGAAATAAGATTACTTGATAAGAGATGAAATTTATTTAAAGCCGCGCGCGCGCAGGCAGTAGTTGCGCCGTATCTGTGGTCAGACATATTTCACAGCAAGCACGGTAGTTGCCGTTACCGCAATTCATATAGCAGGAAATCGAGTGAACTGATTAGATTCAAGATACGGTCGGCACCCGGCGGCGACACAATACAATAGGCAAAGCTCGATACTGCGATCTTTATCTAAATTGCGAACTTTGACGATATTTCCTACGACGTTCTAAAGCATTTCAATTTACGACTAAATTTTGCCCAATCATCTTTTTATTAAACAGATCTTGAATAAAAAATATCGCTTTTTTGATGATAAAAAATTTAATCTAAAATATACTTATTTTTTTCACGAATTGCAAATTCAGTGAAAAATAATACATTTTTATTAACACACACATACTGCACACACGCACGCGCACACGTACACACACTTTTCACGAAGTTTGCGTAGATAAATTCATTTCACTGAATTTATCGACCTTAATGGATTTATCGACCGTGTTGGAGACCCGTGGCTTATCATCAGAAAAGCAAAGAATTATACGCAAGGGAAATTAATATCCCGTGTGTGTGACTATTATATTAAATAAAATATCATGGTCGTTGATTATCGCAAATTGATAACCGAGTTCTATACTCGCTCGTTTCGTATCATCACGATTCTCATCATTCTTCATGATTTCTATCTGGCCGGCGTTAGCGCATTGATACTACATATATATATATATATATACTATAAATATATAGAGTATCACGTGCAAGCGCGTGAACAACCGCTGCCGGCTATATATAGCTATATTACATGTAGCTATATTTGATAAAAGTATTAAAATCGCTACTGGCGGTGTAAAAGTATCCTGAAAAAAATATTGTTACCGAAAAAATTCAATAGTACGCTCTCAGGTTTTATTATAGAGAATTTGCGAAATGGTTGGCAAAGAGAATTTCCCTTCAGCAGTGGATTTGTCAAAGTCAGTTTTCTGTTTTAGCTTTGCTGCGAAAAATGTGTGAAACATTCACTTTTTTGTCGTTTGTTTTTGAAATTCGAGACGTATACGGTCAATCGAGTTGTAATTTCGTAGATAAAATTTTCAGAGTTTATTTACATAACAAAAAATGGTTAAAAAAAAAACAATTTATGACGAAAGCACAAAGTATGAAAAACTGAATGGATACTCACATTAATACGTAAATGCACTCCAACTACAAGATTCTTGACTCGGGGTATTTTCTTATTTACGACACCACGCGATTAAAAATACATTCGTAAGGTCCATATCTCTAACGTTACGTCAGTCTCGTCGGCGCGACCGGGCTGTTATCGCGAACTCGAAACGCCGCTCTTCTTGTCGATAATTGGCGCGCGCCAAACGTGGATACCTGCGTCGGCGTGTCACGCCGTCACCCGACTACGTCACCGTTTCGCGTTTATACAGCGATCTCGCGAAGCCGCGCGTTTCAGCTTCTGTCGACGACTGACAACCGCCCTGGGCTCGGCGCCTGCGCCCCTTCTGCATTCACTTCGACACTACGGCCCTGCCACGCGCCCTTCTTAACCTGGAAGCCAACGGTTGCGGCGAGGTCAATCAGGATAATTGCGACATAACAGCACAAACACACACACACACACACACATACACTAGAATATTTTCTCTAAAAAGCTATCTAATAATTATCATTTTCTAAAAACCTATCTATAATCACAAACAGAATTTTCTCTTCTTATCTCACATAATTTTATTAAAAAGTTTGAAATGTTATTTCTTGATTATTATTTTCTTGAAGATGAATTTATATAATTAGTTTTTATTTGTTACTTTCGTAACAAAATAAACACCAATTATAATCATAATTCGTATAATAATCAGAAATTAATGATTACCAAAATAATAAAAACTAATTATATAAATTGATCTTTATTACTAAAATAATAAAACTTGTTTTCAAATAATGGCACTCGGAAAATTTTTAACATATAATTCTCTTTTTATCAGACGAACAACATACAGATTTCCCACACGTACAGTTTTGTGATTTATTGTAAAACTATTTCACGTATCGCGGCCGGTCCGTATGAGGTAGGGCTGTTTAGTCATCCGTGATTTTCGAATTAATATCGTCGAGTGAGAAACCGACTCGCGAATAGCGACGTTTATATGTATATACGTTCGATGTGAATTTTCGAAGCGATGCATTATGCCCGCACACACGCAGGTGCGACATTTCGCTCTGGGAAATTCGTTCCATTAAACACGACGGGAGCGTCATAATTATGACGGGCGAATAAATAAGGACGTTAACCAAATAGGGGATGTAAAAGCGACGCGACGACGGCGAAACAAAGTGTCGCGCGAAATAAAACGCAACGTCATCGTGTGCTTGTATCTGTCGAAGGGAGCTCCCTCACCATTGTTTGAGATTAAAATAAAGCCACCTCTTGTTTCCCCGCTAACGAGTCGTCCGCGTTTAATTGGCAACGAGCCGAGTTTCATCGTTTCCGCGAAAATTCCACGAGCAAAGACAACACGAATTTTCCAACTCTTTTCTCTTTTTTTTTTTTAAAACGCGACACGTTCGCGACAATTGATAGGTTTATTTTGTGTCTAGATTACCCATTCAATTCAATATATAAATATTAGAAGAAATTGAGCGCGACATAACAAACGTGCCGCAAATAAGAGTTTTAACGGCCTGATTTTAATTGTCTGTGTGTGTGTGCGCGTTATAAAATGAAATTAGTCGAAAGTAAAATAGTCGCGTATGAATATTCAACTCTCCCGTGCCGGGAAATGGTGATGTTAGGTGGCGACGGCGAAGAGAAACGCGAAAGAGAATGAAAAAAGCCCACACGAAAATACTCTCTTGCGACCGTAACAGATTGGCAGTGGAAGTAGCGGGTCAGCATTTTCCTGCAGGTGCGCGGGGTCGGGAGGCTTCAGATTAAAAGATTTGGAGTCTGCTCAGCTGTAATAAGAGTCAGCATCTTTTTCTGGGCAATATTTCACGTCATTACACACCATTTCACCGCAATTAAGATTTGAAAATTTCGGTTGCTCCGCGATTTATCGGTGGAGACCACCAACGCGACGTCTCTTGTTTTTTTTTCTGTCATCAACGTCTGCGCAAACGTGACCCTGTTGGTTAATTAAACAAGTCTCTCTGTTCCGAGACTTCTTTGAAATCCACATCAAAGCAACATTCTCGTATAAATATTTCACAAATGTGTATGTACATTCGTAACAGGTCGCCGACATGTTGGCAAAAATAAATTTGTGTATCCCGTTTTATTTACAAACCCAAGTTTACTTAGAAAATTGAATACCCCGAAATGTAGATAAATTAAAGTAAATGTCTCTACTATGTTTATTTAAATCTAACTCCTAACCTTTAACATGTGTAATAAATACATGCAAATGGAATGGTAGCAGAATGGGAACGACGTTTATATTCGTACGGCAGAAATTTCAATTTTACTCGGGAGGAGGAAAGCTTCGCACGCGGGCGGATTGCGAGGGCAAAGATAGCGCGACGAAAGTGCGAACATAACAACATGTAAATCCTATGAAAAAGCGAGGAATAAGAAGATACACACGTACGAAACTTCGGCGAAACGAGGAACGACCATTACGCGAGCGACAAATGCGACGAAAGTTCGCAGAAACGCCTTCGCGTTCTCGGAGAGAAACGGTGTCTTTATCCGTTTCCAACCTATCGAACAGAACGCAACTCTTTTGACGTCGTCGTCGCGTCAATCGCAAAAGCCCACAAACGAAACGAACGCCCCATCGAAATCCGTCTCGCTTCCGTAGCGTCGCTACGGCGATTTTTGCCGAACGTCGGAGCGCTGCCATACACATGAAAATCCGGGTCGTTGCGTATATTTCCAAAAAGTTCGATGTTTCGACTTCGATATCTCGCGTCGATCTCTCTCTCCAGTCTCAAAGCTCGTGTAATCGTGTATCATAACCAAATATCCGCACTGGGACAAAGTCTCGCGTTGTTCTCTCCCGTGAGATCATCCGTACCGCGCTATTGTTCTACGACTATAACGTTATTCTCAATTCAGTATTGAATTTTGTATTTTAGTTTGCTTGTCTTATCGAAATTTTGCAATATATTAAAATGACAAAAGAAAAAGAATATGTATATATATCTCTTAGTTTATTTTTCTATATTTAAAATTTTTATCACAAAAGATTTTTATCTTTAAAAATAAACTAAGATCTGAAGACATCTTCGGAGAGAAATCCAAAATCTTTGAATTGTTTTAGAAATTACGGTTTTATATTTCGGTCTTAAATTACAGTTCGGTTATTTTGAAATAAGACCACCAGTCATTTTGATCGTCGCAATAATAATTATATCTTCTTATCACTTATGAAACATCAGGTCCGAAGGCGACGAATCATTGCTTAGAGCATCTCTAATCGGATTCGCGATAGCTCTCGCCTTCTGGTTACAGAATCGAGAGTAATCACATTGGCCGTATCTGGCATTAGTTTATAACGTTGATTCCCCGATACAGACGCAGCGCGCGGGATTCGATTACAAGGCGGATATATCTGCGATCGAAAGCCGCGCGAGCGACAAAATTGTATTACGCTAATTGCCGGCATCGCCAGATGAATCGTCCGTTTGCATCAGATTTGCAAGCCTTGTATCTGCAAACCCTGCTTCCCTTCCTTCCTTCCTTCCTTCCTTCCTTCCTTCCTTCATTCATTCCTCTCTCCCTTTCGAGCTTTTGGTCTCAATTAAGAATACCGGCGGTTTTCACTCTTTCTCGCGCGCTACGTGAATCGCTTCTGCCACGTTCGCACCGTAGCTCTTTACCAAGATCGCTCCAAACGCGTCTGTTTTCGTTTTAATCAGCTGACAATTTTAGTCTTTATTTTTTTCTCGTCATATCGTTTCGCTGAGCCACGCCAAAAGCGGATTTTGTTTTGCAAGAGAGTCGATCATTGTAGATTATTTTTTTTTTTTTTTTTTTGTCTCTCATAGTTTCGCGATATCGTCGTTTTTGGGCGATAGACGAAAACAGATTTGCGCTGATGCGCGGCAGGTTTTGTCTGCAGTCGGCTGTTCGATAAACGGCAGTCCCGCGAGAGAAGCGGGAAAATTTCATTTATATCTCTATTGTTGCTACAACGGACGAGACGGATGTATTTGCATTTTACGAGTCAATTTCGATTCGTCGATTCGCTGACAGCGCAATTTTTCGTTCTTCCTTGTTTCATTTGCGATAATATCACCGATTTGTTACGTCATTCATAATTAGAAAATAAAATACATAATCAGAGTAGTCTTACAAATTAAATCCTTGCGTGTAATGAATGCCAGAAAAGATAATAAAATAAGAACGATGTTATCAATCGTCTTAATGGATAAATTTAGCCTTTTTAGTCGTTGGGACGTTGGATTTACAGAGAGGAAATAAATATAATTCTAGCGGATTTGTGTTCCGTTCCGACGTGAAAGTGGTCGTTTTCCATTCTCCTTTTAATCGGGATAAAAGACCGTCTTATTTCACACCATAATGCCGGACAATAAAATATTCACGAGTTTTCCTCGTTGGAGCGCGAGATCGGCGCGTCGAAAGGAAAGATTACCAAAATCGGGTTCTGATTCATAAACGATTCATTAAAGGAGCATTCCTTTGACCCTTCAGATTGTCTCTCACAACGGCGAATTTGTGTTCAAAGACAGAGCTGAGAGACGAAGAATGCGGGTGAATAATGAAGTCGCGCGGAGGAATGAGATGTTTCGAGGGTCCCGTATTAGAAACCCGATGGGGTTTCCAAATCTGCAAATTTGGTTAACGACAAAGGAAGGCTTGTGAATAAAGAGTGACGCTTCTCTCGGCCACGATATTCGAATTTTAGAGAGGCATAAAAGATACAAACGATTCTTTTATCATAAAATTCGTTCTCGCGAATAATGTGAGATTTACAGCGAGAACATGTCAATACACAAATGATCGCTTCGAAAAAAGTTCTTTTGTTTTGGATTTTAAAGTAACATAAAATTTCTCTCTCGATTCTCCATAATAATTTTTGTTGCTTTGATAAAATAAAAAAAAAAGAAAATTATAAAATTCCCTTTTATGTGCTTTTTTGCGAGAACTAATCGGTTTTTCGAAATTCCTCGAACTCACATTGCTGGCAATGGAACTGGTCGACTGTGCGCTACGATATATATTCGCGGTTTCGATTTGCAGCAAGAGCAATCGTGCAAGTTAATCAACCTCGGTCGGGACATCTGGTCGTCGTGTAAAAAATATTTAATCGAAACACGCGAAGCTTTTTCGGTAAGGAGAAAACGCTACAGAACACGAAGCGCGAGATAGTGGAGTTGGCTAACGAATGGACCGGCGGCGATCTCAACCGCGGCGGATATACCCCAACCGTGAAAGTTTCTGCGA